AGTGGGGTGGGGTGTATATATATATATATATATATATATATATATATATATATATATATATATATTCTCAGCACAGAGGCTGAGAATGCCGAGAAGGGTTTTTTGACAATTTTATGTGTATGTATCTCAAACGCAAGGAGATGTGAAAGAAGAATTTGCGCACTGTCTGAAACACATCTCTGTGCGTGCTTCAGGTGTGTGCAGCTGCTGTACACACATTGAAAACAGCGCGTGAGTAACGAATCGAGTTCTCTTTCGTTTCTTCTTGTGGTTTAAAATCGCTTGAACTTGTAAACTGGCAAATTAATCTGCGAATCACATGCATGCTGACGTGTGGGGCCTGGTCCGTACATATCATGGATCAACTGCGATCTGTTTAACCCCTAATATAGCCTATGACAGATCAGAACAATCATTAATTTACTAATTAGCTTACAACAAAAAAAAAAATAAATAATTAGAACAATCATTAACGCACCAATAAATAACGGTGTCATACACATTTGTCCCAGAACGTTCTTGCGGCACGGTAGCAAGTTACAACACTTCCACGGCCCGGTATTGGGTCGTGACCCGGTGGTTGGGGACCTCTGCTCTAATGCACTAGTACTGTAAGAAAGTTACTTTCTATGGCCATGAAAATATAATTTCTTAAGAGTTGATATGAATTTACACTGAATGTTCGCTGGACGAAAAGATTAGTTGATGGTAATATTAATTCTGCTACAGTTACTACTGGCAGCTGATATAAATAATTGTAATTAATTATAATTAATAGTAATTATTTATATACATTTACCTTTTGAGCTAATTTGTTACATGAGCAATATTAATAGTTATAATATTAATATTAATAGTAAAGCCTGCCTTAGCAAACACCACTAGTTTCTTGCAATCAAATGAACAGTAAGGAGTTCCTGTGAGACATCAACAAAGCACATCTTTCTCTGCGGTCTGACTTTATGTCAACACATTTGCATCAACTGAAAGCCGGTATCGGTATCGGTGCATCCCTATTTGGGACACAACTTGTGTTAATTGGGCTGTGTACAGACACTAATGACTGAACAGCAGGGCAGTGATGTGTTATTACGGGTCAGTGCTGCTAGCAGCTACACAAGCCAGCATTATAATCATTGGGGAAACAGACCTGCAAACAGTAGAGTAGCTCCGCATAAACACATTTCATTACACCAAATACACAAAATAATGTTCTTTTTAGCAGCATCATATGACCCCTTTAAAGTAGATAAACTACAGTAAAACTACTAGTTTTGGAGGGGGTGGGACAAACAATATTTTGAATTTGGACTGCACTACCCATTTAAACCACTAGCTGTCAGTATTACTGTGACGACTGGGGTGGGGTTGAGAGTTGTGGGGGCGGAGCGAGGCTGGTGGAGCAAATGTTAATGGTTAGCACCTGCATCACACACAGAATAAAAGGAGAAGTGATGACAGTGAAGTGATGACTGAGGGGCTGCTGCTTACTTTTGTTTTGCTGTTTATTTTATAAAAATTTATGTTAAACGTATGCCGGTTCCCACCTCTTTCTTCCCTGAACTCGAACACTGTTACAATTACATACTGTACCTTTAAAGTCAAAGCAAAATTTACCATTGCAAATCTCAGAGCAACACTGAGCAGAGGCATTTTGTTGCTGAGTGAATCAGCGTTTCGAACTAATTGGTCGGTAAATGATTCAATGATTTACTCTTAAAGAGACTTTCTTATATACTGGATGAATTTGAACAAATTGTTGTGATTCAGTGACTCACTAATAAAGTCAATCAAAAGTCACTTCTGGCTTCTTTTGGAGCTATATATATAAATCATAATTACTATTGGATGTAATAGAGAAAGCAGGTAAAGTCACGAGAAAACAAGATGTGACACCCACATATGATACATGATTACACAACACACACAGATCACATTTCTGGGTCTCATAAAGGTCTCATTTTAAGGACCAATTTTCACTATTAACTAGTTGCTTATTAGCATGCATATTACTATGCTGTTATTGGCTGTTTATTAGTACTTATAAAGCACATATTGATGCCTTATTCTGCATGACCATATTCTAGATCCCTTACTCCACACCATACCTAAACTTAACAACTACCTTACATTAATAAGCAGCAAATTAGCAGTTTATTGAGGGGAAACTCTTAATTAATTGTGAATACGTGTTCCCTAAAAATGCTACATCCTCATAAAAAAAATGAATCCATTCTCCATATTCTTGTTGTTATGATCTTACCTCGGCAATGAAGACAACAATCACGCAGTCCTCCTTCTCGGCCGGACTCAGTTCTGACATCAGCGAGCTCAGCGTGTCTGTCAGGTAGGAGTGCACCTCTCTCTTCACACTGGGCACCCCCATCACTATCGACACTGAGAGACAGAGAGACAGTCACTAATGAGCCCTGAGTGCATTCACTTTTGACAGATCTCCACTAAAGCATACTATACCACTCACACACACAATTCAGCATGCAGAGTCCTGTCTGACTGTGCATTTGCATTTCTAAGAGCTCAGTCCTAATTAAAGCTGGATGGAGAGCCTGCGGGACAGCGAGTGTCTCCTCCCCACCAGGGGCTGAGGCTGTGTTGGACAGCACCCCAGAGAACTGTCCACTCAGATGGGCCAGAGACCCGGACACAGCTGGGCAGAGAGCCGGGACAGGAGATGGAGAGAGGTACGACATCTTTCATGAGTTGGACAGAGAGACCATATTTTGAGCGTGATGATATAATAAGCGTTTGGCAGATATGAGGTAAGAGGATCGCAAAGACCCAGACGATGAAATTAACTTTTTTATTTTCAGCTGAATTTTTTACATTTTATGAGGGCATATTTTTCAAACTGCTCTTCCAGGTCTCTATAATCACGCAAAAGGGACATAAATACACATCAGAGTGTCACTAAAATTGGGTATTACAGGATGATGAGATCATCATGCAGGGCAGATAATAGACGCCTGAGGAACCACATAACGTAAAAATAATGTTCAAAAGTTTGAGCATTATTTGGCAAAAATACAGTAAAATATTACTGCAATTAATTTTTTTTTCATTTGAATATAAATTAAAATGTAATTTATTTCTGTGATCAAAGCTGAATTTTCAGCATCATTACTCCAGTCTTCAGTGCCACATGATCCTTCAGAAATCATAACAAAATGCTGATTTGCTGCTCAAGAAGCATTTCTGATTATTATCACTGTTGAAAATGTTGATGTATATTTTTTCAGGATTCTTTGATGAATAGAAAGCATATATTTGAAATTCATATTGTAACAATGTAAAAGTCTGAGCTGTCATTTTTGACCAATTTAATTGGTCCTTGCTGAAAAAAGCACTCATTTCTAAAATTTTCAATGTTAAAAATATAACACTAGAGGAAATATAGGTGTTCAAACCTGAAATGAACCTGAATGTGTATTCATTCTACTTTTATTACAGTAGGAATGACTATTTATTGTGTTCTTATTGTCGACTGAGAAGGGTAACTAATACTAATTTAGCAGCCTAAACTGTTAAAGGAATAGATGAACTCTAGATATGGTCCTAACATCACTGTCTGTCATCACATCTTTTTTATCTGTGCTAATAGCAATTTAAATACGAGCTCACAGACCTATAAAAGCTGATATAAACCAACAAATACAGAAGTATTTGTTAACGATGTACAAGACATAGAAACAAGAATATGTTAGATGACATATCTCAGCAGATAGTGATGTTTGCCGTTTCAGGGTTTTCTTTGTGTTCAGCGTTAGTCATAAACCGCTTCATGTTAGTCGCACATTCAACAACACTTGCCTCTGAGATGGTGAATACAGAGATTCAACAATATTGCATGAACTCATCTGACAGCAGCAGGTCACTCGAGGCACCAAACCCATATTTTACACTGAATCTGTATAACTAGACAGGCCTGGAGGAGAATGTAACAAAACCTACCAAACGTCACAGAGAAACTCATTACAGGGCTGTTTTCTCGCACTAACCTCCGGTGCGGCCCTGGCCGATGTGCACGGCCGGCTGGAGGCTGGTCTCTTTGGCCAGCAGGTGCGGCAGATGGTGGAAGATACTGGGCAGCTGAAGAACATTCTTACTGCTGGTCACGTTCCACAGCTTCAGCTTGGTCTCATCTGAATGAGATGACAAGCACACAAAAATATGTGACTATAACAGTAAGCTGGTTTAAACTATTTGCACATGATCTTGGATCCAGTCGCTACTGGAGTAGCATACATATGAACCAGTCATATACAAGGAATTCTCCATCCAAAACACATACATCCACATGTATGACTCTCTTTCTTCTATGGCCAGTTGCATAAAATCCTGTGTGTTAAGACTGTCTTAAGAACTAGTCTGACCAGCTAGCAGTTAGCCATCTTATTGTTTGGATTCAACGTATACGTCTTTATGTAACCGAATTTAATACGTTTAAACTATTTGCACATGATCTTGGATCCAGTCGCTACTGGAGTAGCATACATATGAACCAGTCATATACTTAAAAGGAATTCTCCATCCAAAACACATACATCCACATGTATGACTCTCTTTCTTCTATGGCCAGTTGCATAAAATCCTGTGTGTTAAGACTGTCTTAAGAACTAGTCTGACCAGCTAGCAGTTAGCCATCTTATTTTTTGGATTCAACGTATACGTCTTTATGTAACCGAATTTAATAAATATTACCAGTCTTAAAGAAAAAAAAATAGATGGCTAACTTGTAAGACTAGTCTAAACCTTTTATGCAACTGGCCCCAAAGCAAGAGAATAAAGCAGAAGACAAAGAAATGATAATAAAAAAAGAGCTTTGAGTTTATTCAATCTTACTTGCATATGTTTCAATGCTCAGACTTTGTCTTTAGAGGCTTATTTCCTCCATATTTACATTTATACTATATAGCTGATAGAAGTAGCAGCTTAATGATATTCCTAATGAAAAGACATGTCATAAGTAAGAAAATAAACATTTTGAAAACACAGCTGACAGCTGGGCATGTTGTGATCCTTTATAACTGAACAGAAATTTTTGGCATGGAAGCCACAAAATACATGAGTTAAATGCACTTCTTGCACATGCTTCACAATGTGATGTCGCTTATGTCAAACGTATGAGAGTTGGCTGTGAGTAATGGTTATAGATAAAGAAGTTTCAAATATTAGTATTTTTCTCACACACCATTGTGTTCACTTTGTGTGGTTTTTTGAAGCTATGCGATACTTGCTTCCATTACAAGACAGACATGGATTTTTTTTTTTTAAATATTCATGTGTGTTTATCTGAAGAAAGTAATTTAATGTACCCTTTAAAGAGACTGTTTACACAAAAATTTTTATTCTCTTATAATTTACTCATAAATCTGTAAGACTTACTTCTGTGGAATTATAAAAATGTTGATAGTTTTTTTTTTTTGGCGAAATATTTTTGTTGTTTTGGACACCAATGTCTTTCATTTTATGGATAAAACAGTTGAAACATTCTTTAAAACACATTCTTTATGTTCCACAGAAAAAAAGTAAGTCAAACAGGTTTGGAATGATGTGATCGTGTGTAAATGATGTCTACATTTTCATTGTTGGGTGAACTACTCCTTTAATTGTAGCCCTAAAATCAAAGGACAGTGATTGGTTGATATAAAACCATCCTCTGTTGTTCCGGGATGTTGTGGTGTTGTTTAGTCTGACCTGACAGGCTGCTCCAGGTGCGGTTGATGTCCCGCAGCGCTTGTTTCTCAGCGATGGCTCGCTTGATTTCGTCCAGCACCAGGTTGAGCTCTTTGGAGCGTTTGAGGTTCTCTTGCTCAGCGGAGTGCAGACGGTCTTTCAGGGCCAGAAATTCTCGCTGGTAAATGTCTACGACATTACCTACAAACAGAAGAAAGAGAACAACACTAATTTGTGAAAAGCTGCAGCTTTTGCGTTTTCTTAACATCTTACTTTATAATTTATTATAACAGCATTCAATTATTCAGTCAAAAGAACCGTTATGTTATGCATCAATAAATAAAGGCCAATAATTTAACACCGAATATGAGCATGTTCCTCAGAGGCTTTTATTTAATGGGGTTGTTTTTCAGACGTTAACAAAGATGACGAGTGTAAAAAATGAGAGGATATTTTGAGTCTCCGTTTCTTGTTCTCGGTGCCCTTTAAAGGGCTGAAACTGCACTCGTTTACATTTAAACACTGGTTTTCTTAGACAGGGAGAGAATAGAAGTGGTGTCGTGTAACCAGCCAGTCATTCATGACATTTAAACACGTGTTTTAGTGAGGTTGCCTGTTTTCTCCATGTCTCGGGTCATAACCTTCCATAATGGGCCGATCAATGTTCCTGACCCCAGAGGTCAACATGCAGAGACAGTTAGTAACACAAACCTGTTCTTTCATCCCTCAAATACAGCTCAAATGTCAAAGTTTAAAGTGCATTTATTCTTTAAGTATTTAAAGCATTTAAAGAAATGAAAACTACTGATCTGTTTAGATGGCATGTCGACACACATTCAGATAATTAATCAATAAAAATATAATGGCATCACTTTAAAAAGGTTCCATTTGTCAACATTATTTATTTAACTACATTAGTTAACATGATCTAACAAGCAAAAATACTTCATTTAAAAAAGCATTTATTACTCTTCGTTAATTACATATACTAACACATTTTTCAAATGAAAAGTTGTATCTATTAATGCTAGCTGATGGACCTGAGAATAATAAACATTAACAAAGAATAATAAACACTGTAACAAATGTATTGCTCATTGTTAGTTAATATTAGTTAATGCATTAAATATAGTTAACAAATAGAACCTTATTGTAAAGTGTTATCAATGTAATGCTTAATTGTTTTTTTATGTGATGCTGACAGCACAAGAACTTTTAGGATGATCAAGCGGTCTCAAACAATCCTGGCATTTAAAAAAAATATTAAAATAATATACTTACTCTAGATAATATTATTATTATTATATTTATTTATTTATTAAAGCATTATCTAAAGAGTGCATTCATTTAAGAAATGAATACATTTACTGCGGGAATCAGCCTATGAATATCTTACTTACAGTTGTCTCTGTGTATTAAGCTGAGATAGGAGAAAGCATTTTAAAACCAATTAAATTACACACTTCACCTGGTATATAAGATTTCTAATTTTCTCATCTGACTGAGATAGTTTCTTTTCCTCCTTTGCTCTAAACACACTCTAGAAACGAAAGAATAATGAGGATTTATGCTTTGCGGGATAATCCTGAGCATGCAGGCTTTTTCTGGGAGAAATGCCCACTCTCAGCGCACAGCCCACACACACACACACACACACACACACACACAAACTCCGTCATGCCATCGGAGTCCAAAGCCCTTGTGTAATCTGAAATTACTCCGCTCCACACAAGTGCAATCCAATCCACACTTCAGATTGGGGAGGAGAGGTACATATAATACCCTGCAGAGTGAGATAATCTACTGATGTACTGATGACATCTTCACTATGATCCCTACACTCGATTACTGCTGAGTGCTGGTGGCCTCTCACAAAGACGGAGAGCCAGAGACACGCTCACATAAAGAGTGTGTGCAGATATACACTTAAACGCATGTATTACAGCATGTACAGTGTATCTATTATTACAGACGAACAGAGTGCAGATGGATTGGGACAGACAGAGTAAAGGATCAAATATACTGCATAAAGCAATAAGCCCCAAGAAGCTGTGGTTTACCTAAAAACCCCTTAAGCTGTTATGAATTCACTGTAAACCACGGCTTCACGGGGCTTATTGCTTTTATAAAACGGTTATTCCATATACGTAGTACAAACAAAACACAACATTTTTTAAAAATAAACAAAACAAAACATCAACAACAAACAATAATAAAAACACACACATATATATATATATATATACACACACACATATACATTTGAGGGGCCGTACAAGCCATAATTCATTCTGGCACGCTCACACACTTACATTCTCCTTTCACATGCATATACTGTATATACATAAATAACAATATTTTAAAACAGGCTACGCTCTCTTTATGCTAAATATAATTGATTGATATTCCTTTTTTTCATACATATGTACTCGTCTGGGAATAGCTGCATTAGCGTGTCTGAAGAAGGCCGCCAAGTGTACTCACACATGCTTTAAAAGAACTTTGATCAAGCTCAGCGTGTCTCTATGTAAATTGGACACACAACAGTGTGTGTTTGTCCCTGCTGCAGTGCATGTGGCTGCGTTCATCTTATTAAAAGAGAAGTCTTAAGACAGCCGTGACATCTTGCCAAGCTTTGCTGTCACACTGACAACCTGACAAATACAGACGAGAAATGTGAAAATGTGAGGGTGCTTAGCCTGGTTTAGTCGTTAAGATGATTTAACAGCATAGTCGTGGCCATTTTGACACCTGGCGGTGTGAGATGACCAGCTGTTTTAGATGTGTGTGTCCGTTTTCAGACAAACGGACGTCAAAATTCACACTTCCATCAGACTCTAATGGAGCTGCCCTTGATTCACTCTAACATCATTTTGTTTACTTCCTTCTTTCATGGAAATGTGTTGGTTTATAGCAGAAGAGAAGAAAAGAAAAGGGCTTGACATGAAAGTGCGAAAGAAAGTGTTGCCTATAATTTACTAGAGCGCTCACAAAGTGTCTTAATGAATTACTTCACAGATTCCGATGCTCTCTTCAGCTTGAGTCTTTAGCAGGTCAAAAATAATTCATCCTGAAATTCATTACTGAAAAACAGAAATCCCTGAGCAATGATGCCAGAACGTTTGAAAGGCTTTACAAAAATACTCCAATTGTGATAATTCCACTGCTCTGAAAGGTCTTCTAATTAAAACTGCTTTCATTGGGCGGTCTCCAAGATTCATCTCTCACATGCTTAATTATCTCATTTAGATCATTATAATTATCTTAATATCTTGAGCTCATTTAATTGTGTTGGCTTGAACATTTCTGAGACAAATCTAAAAGAAAAACATACGTTAGCACCATGCAACAGTGAAAAATAAACTCGATTTCTACATCTTCCGAGTTGTACTTGATCGGGTACTTTAACATTGATAATAATCAGAAATGTTTCTTGAGCAGCAAATCAGCATATTAGAATGATTTCTGAAGATCATGTGGCACTGAAGACTGGAGTAATGATGCTGAAAATTCAGCTTTGATCACAGGAATACATTATATTTTACAGTATAACAAAAAAAAGAAAGGATTTATTTTCAACTGCAATAATATTATAAAAAAAAAATATTTATGACCCTAAACATTTGAACGGTGGTTAACATATTAATTATTAAAAAAATATTAGTGATTAGAGATATATATATAGTGAAAATTCCAAAAGGGGTGGGTGTATGTGCCATATTTTGGAGACACACTGTTATCCAGACATGAGCTAAATGTGACAATACTTCCTTTTGGAGATGTCCTCATTTATAAAAACATAATTTGTTTCTATTTTTTTTTTTTATGTAAAAACTCATTAGGTTTTCTGTTAGGATTAGGGTTAGGTTACTGTATGTACAGAATGTTGCATTTAGATGTAGTCAACTAAGTGTGAGTGTGTGTGTGTGTGTAAATGTAGTCTAGACAGTATCATGTTGAGCGGTATCTCTGAGGCTGTCAGAAATCCCATTGACTCTCTCACTTTCCATCTTATCGAGTATATGTTCCTCTTTCATTTGGCCTTCTCTCTTTGCTTTCATTTTGTAAAGTGGCTTGGATTCCTGCCTGGCTTTTTCCTAATGGGCAAAATCCATACAGATCCCGAAACCAGATCATTCCATCCGTTTGAGCGGAAACAATGACGTATTAAATACAATCCTCTTGTACTGGCACTCTAAATGATCTATCTTTATACAGACAGTGCAGAAATTCTGACTCTGTATGTGAATGACCAGCATCTTTAACAGGTCCATAAAGAGCATAAGGGAGTAAATTGTGAAAACAGAAAGTCCTTGGCTTGTTGAATCACTGCTGCAGCGGTTGAGTATCAGTGGAGAGGTCATCCACAGAAAGCGGTTGAAAGGCCAGGTACAACGGGTCAAATCAGATCCAGCACACAGAAACAGCCAATGACATTTTCCCAGGGCAGAGCAGCAGTGCGGGGTCCCCCACAAATAACAAAAACAACAATTCAGTTCAGGTTCATCCACAAGAAAGGCTAGGGTTATGGAAAAACGGCTTTAATCTCGTCTAAGCACTCAACTGGAGAAATATCTTATATATGAAGTTCTGTTTATCCAAGTTTTCAACAATTTTTGACTAGGGTTGCAACAACTAATCGATAAAAACCAATAATGGAACAAATTTGATTATAAGTTAACTACGTCTGTTCGCCGTGCATGGAAAACATCGCTAGTCACGTTACTTTACAGTAGTGAATAAGGCATTTCTATGGACAAAACATTTCTAGGAAACAGCAGAGGACACAAAGTGAGCTGCTGCAGGAAAAGTGCATGACCCAAGTTATGCCAACAAATGAGAAAATTAGAAACTTGCAAGCATATAGCGTATAGCTTGCTTTGGCATGTGCACTGACAACACATGTTGTTTTGTGCATTTGATGCATGTCTTCCTTGTGCAAAATTTACATGTATGGTTATAAATTTACATAAATTGACATGCATGGTTATATCCTGATCTGTAAATGATAGAAAGTCACAGGTTCACACACCTGTTTCTGTTCTCCCTGATTATTTCCCCAGTGTATTTCCGCTCTGAGTTTTCTTTGTTCCATTGTCTGGTCTCGTTACGGATATGTTTGCATATATATATTTTCATGTGGATTTGCATTGACTTCTGCTATTTTCTCCTAGATTATTAAAGTATTTTCTAACTCTATT